TCCTTGGCGGAGCACATTTGTTTCAACGGAGTCCCGGATCTTCTCCAGAACCCACATGATCCCTCTGGGCTGAACCCGCTGGGTGATGCCTGTAATCACAAGCAACAGAACATTCAACAATGAACCCCAAGCTATTAATAACTTACGATTGACCATTGCAACAGCAACGTACCATTAGATCATGAACAATTGTCACACATATGTAAAGTTATTGTGCAGTAACTTTCAGGGGCGGACTTTGAGGATTTCAAATTAATCTTACGTGATCCGAATTGTATTTAAACATTTTACTAACACAATACACTAACCTTTTATTGCTATATAAGTGGCAAGTAAATGAATAATCAAATGTTTTGTCAAAAGTTGTCAATGTTCTTTCTGTCTAATAATGATCCTAACGAAAAGTGCTTCAGCAACGCACTGTTGCTATGGTTATCTCTTCAGGCGAATACGAACATTCTGTTTCCGAGCATCTATTTTCCGCTAGGTGAAAACAGATTAAGACTAAATTAGTGCATATGACTTGTGAACTATATTCCAGTTTAACAGCATTGACTGAAAAACATATTGAAAGCTCAGAAACCTTGAAACAGGTGATATTTCAGCACACTGAAACAACCACTTTATCTGAATAATGACTATGAGAGAAAACAGATTAAGACTCCTAAACCTTTTTTTTTTTTTTTTTTTTTGAGGTTGGTGGAGGTTTAAGTCTTAACACATGGGACAAATCCCCTTAATTTGCATATATGCAAATCATTCTAGACTTGAATAAATCTACATGCTAGCACATGAATTTCATGTACAGTTTATAGACTTGGTATGAGATGGCATTTCTTTTAGAATATTAGAAATCAGTTTTCAATAAGTCAATTCATATATAATTTTTTGTATAAAATTATTTATGGATTAGGAAACTTTGGACTAAATTGCATTTAAAGCTAATTATGCAAAAATAATGCAAAAAAATATAAAGTGTACATCAACAAATCATATGATATTTGAAAAGCTTTATGACTGCAGAGAAAGACAAATACGACTTTTTTTCTCTGGAATCATACAGATCTTCAGGAATTTTCTTTTTCTCGGTTCTGGTCCTAGAGTACCCAATCACTGGACATTTTGTCCTTATGTAACACACCTGATTAATATCATCAGCTTATTAATAGAGTCTCTGAAAAGATCTTCACTAGGTACTTCAGATAAGGGAGACATCCAAAATATGCAGTCTGGGGTACTTTTGAATTGAAAACAACTAAATTGGTCTCGCCAAAAATGTTTGATTAAGATAAACTGTTAAGATTAACACATAAGTGACTAAATTATTATTATTATTGATCAATATTATTTATTGCATATCCAAACTGAGACTAAATTCACAGGAATGGCAACAGCTTGCATAGAACTTCTCTGACAACATACACATTAAAATTAAACCTGCCATTTCATTTAAAAATTACAGTGTTGTCAGTGGTTTGCATATAAAAATTACACAATCTGAATCAGACATTTTTTTTTTTACATTTAATATGTAACATCCACAACAGCTTTTCATCTACAAAAAAAAAGGTAACCATATGAAGTTGTAACAGTTTCAAATGTACTTGTACTGAGCCCACACAAAAAAGGACAGGGAATGCATGTTAAATGTGTATTTGGACTTGTTTGTAACTACATTAGGTTTACTGGAAAACAAGACAAAGACAACATCTTATGACAATAGTTTCCATGTGAAACCTTTTCTTAAATGTCTGCTGTGTGTCTTCTTTGAAATATAAAATAAATCAGCCATTTCTCATTCATATTCACCGTCTAATATAGCTTATAAAATCTTAACAAATCTTCATCACAATGAAGTTTAAGAAAAGTAAACTTTTAAACCTGTCGCTTTCAGAGTAATTTACTCACTGAATTTGCAAGTGATTTTCCTCTTCTCTGCGAATCCTCACACAGGCACTTCAGTGTTCATAAGTGTGTGCTGTCTTTTCCCCAGGCTGCGGTGAGAGAGGTTCAGATCCGCAGGTCGCCTGTTGCGCTTATATAGTCCTACTGCAGACGCGCGCGCCTGAACGAGCCAATCAGAGGAAACGATGCT